TGACTAACTGACTGACCGACTGACTGACTGACTGATTGACTGACTGACTGACCAACCAACTGATTTTTAAATGGCTTAAWTTCCTTGATTGAGTGACTGACTGACTGCATAAATGAAAAATTAAATTGATTGGAAATGTGAAGAAAAATTAATATGAAAAAAACAATGAATGAACAAACAATTGAATCCAATGTTAACAGACCCCTTGCATGTGATGTAAATGCAGCTCAATTTGGAAGACAAAACAAAAGAATTTCAATCTCCTGAGAACCTGAAACCTATTGTTATCTCCACCAAATTGAGCTGCGTTCTGATGTGCTGCAAGGGAACTATACCCTAACTCAAATCAAAATAAAGCACCTTTCTGAACTGCTCCTCTGCAATGTACATGATTTCCTGGGGGGCTCCAGGGCATTTGATGCGTGTGTTTGGCAGCGTAAAGATAGCATTCCCACCCTTGAAGTTCTTAATGCTTTTCCAGGTGTCGACTACAGTCCCTGGAGCAAAGTTTGAACCAACACCAGGAGTGTGTAGGGCCTCTGGTAAGCCTTTAACCTCAAATACAAATAATTAATGAATTTCGATAAAATATTTGATTATTATAGAAGATACTAAGTTAGTAACATCAAAGGGACTACTCAAGCTATAGACTAGAGGAGGCAGCAGAAGGCTTTTCTGAGCCCGGGGGGTGGGGGGTACTCCCCTATATTCGCTATACGGGTACGTGCCGCCAAACAGGGTATGGTATCAGCGATTCTACTCTGGAACAGGGTATATAAAATTGCACTTGCTCTGGGACAGGGTATATGAAATTGCACTTGCTCTGGGACAGGGGATGCGAAAACACGCTCTCTCCTCTCAGGAACAGGGTATCCATTTTCGCAATACTGGAACAGGGTATGATTTTCAGTGATCTTGCTCTGGAACAGGGAATAAATTTCAGCGGTTTTACTCTGGAATGGGGTCAGGGTTCAGTGGGCTCTGCGGCACATCCCTACCATATAAACGGGCAAGTGTACCCCCGGGTTTCTGAGTCTCCTTGCTTTTTGTTAAATAAATATCCTGTTACAACTGTACTATCAAACCAAACTATTAATTAAAAGAGAAGAAAATTTTAAAATGTAGCGATTGCTTACTAAGTCAAACCTGTTCTGAAGGCCTACAGCAATGATCAAATATTCATAGCTTAGCTGGAAATAAAGTTGGAAAGAATGATCAAATAAAAAAAGGAAAAATAGTTTGACGGAAATGATTATCTTGGTTCCTCTTATAAATATAAGGGGAACTTTGGGGGG